ATGTCGAGGCTCTACCTCACTTAAATCTACACTACTATAAACAGGATTGCTTATCTTGGTTGTCCTCTTTTCCTTATATATAGACCTGAAGTTGGACAGGTTACGTTTGAGAGGAGTGACTCAAAATAAAAAGAGAAAGCCTCCCTTTGACTTTTTGCATGTATCGCGGGTTTGGAAACTTACATTTGTACTTCCTTGCAACCATACAGAGCTGTCACTCTCTTAGTACATCTAGTAAGTAATTCGTTTTTATAATAAACATTGAATTAATCTAATAAAGAGCTATCACAAAAATTAAACGATTTTTCAACTCGAATTTTCTAGGTTCAATACTTCGTTACAGCAAAACTCGTATAGAACGAACACGGATATTGCGAATTTACGGATATAGCAAAGTCATCTTGGATCCCAAGCTATACAAATTTAATGTATTTCTTATACGGCTATAACTAATTACTGATATAGCGAAGTAATTTTATAGGTCCCTGTGACTTTGTTATAACCGAGTTTTGCTGTACATATGTTATAAAGCCTCGGATTTAAAATATTTTAAATAATAACTATTAAAACTAGAGGTACTGTGAGCAATGAGCTCACTAAATGATACCTCCCGCCTCCCATAATGTCGATGTGTTGCTTTATATTGTTTTACGGTAATGTGTAAAGAGGAATAACTCGTCCTATGAAGTGTTATCCAGAAGCTTCTATTATGTGACGTCATAGGTAAACAAAAAATGGCAATGTCCATGTTTTGCTCTGGGAAACCTAAAATACGTGTCGAATAAAAAAGTAAAATAGGAGGTGCACAATGGCAATATGTAATAAAGATTCTGTGAAAGTTTCATTAAATTTCACTCAGTAGTATAAGAGGAGTTGCGGATAAGAGAAAAAGCGTAACAGACGGACGGACGGACGTACAGACGGACGGACGGACGGAAATCCCGATCACTATATACCCTCCCCTTTTCAAGCGGGGGGTATAAAAATTATCTAACTCTTGAAATGTATACAGCAGTTTCTGAAATGCATGTTGGTTTTGGAAAGGGCCTATAGCTTTTAACTCAGCCAAACGTAAATCAATAATTATCATTTCTATCACATTTGTGATGCGAGTCGATGCAGACTTCACGACATACACTATGTGTGTTTTTAATAGGGTAAATTCAATATTAATATACATCCTGTAGTTGCTTCCGATATAATTGTTTATATTGAAAATATATTCTAGACGCTTTATTCCGACTTTGTCACTCGTTTCTCGGGTGATCTCCCTTTGACACATATTGACCATGGAGACGAGGAGACGGGATCGGGAAATAAACATGTACATGTATACAAGTCATTGTATGTAAAATAAATAAGATTGGAGGAAAAGAGTGCCTTTTTTAAAAAAAAACCCAGATATGTTTGTGAAACACTATGCGCCCGGCGAAAACAAATCTTTTTAAAAAGCTATTTTAGCATATATATCACAGTCAAGGTCATTGACCTTGGTATCATTTGAAAGAAATTGATTAGTAAAGTATGAATACCAAGTATGAAGTCTCTATCTCTTGTGGCTCAAAAGTTAAGGCAAGGTTTCGAAAAAACTATTTTTAGCATAAAGGTCACAGTAAAGGTCACAAGGTCATTGACCTTGGTGTCATTTGAAAGAAATTAATTAGTGGAGTATGCATACTAAATACACAGTCTCCATCTTCATCTGGTTCGAAAGTTATGGCAAAGGTACGAAAAAATTTTTAGGACATAGGTCACAATAAAGGTCACAAGGTCATTGGCCTTGATGTCGTTTGAAAGGGTTTATAAGTGGAGTATGCAAACCTAATATGAAGTCTCTGTCTTTCATGGTTCAAACGTTATGGCGAAGGTTAAAGTTTTCAGATAAAAAGCTATTTTTAGCATATAGGTCACAGTCAAGGTCAGAAGGCCATTGACCTTGGTGTCATTTGAAAGAGCTTAATTAGTGGAGTATGTATACCAAATATGAAGTTTCTATCTTTCATGGTTCAAAAGTTATGGCGAAGGTTAAAGTTTGCAGACAAACAGACAAACAAACAAACAAACAGACAAACAGACAGACAGGACAAAAACAATATACGCCCCGGATCTACATTATTGCATCTTCATGCAGTCATGCTTATAGAGACTAGAGAGATTTTCGTACTTTTTTGCACCAAAACACAAAAAAAAACTTATAATAAATGGAACATTTACATTTCAAAAGTTATTAAAATTTACAAAAGCAATATAGAATCTTGTTTCTTTTCAATTAATGTGGGTAAACCCCATTATTTCCACTTTGATGGTGGGTGCGAAGAGATTTGAATCGAACGAAAAGTATAAATTTCGATGTGGCCACACCCCTCGAAAAAAATAAAAATACGCTCTATTTGTTCATTTTTTATTCGTTATATTTTTGTTGCTTTATTTAGCGTTTGTATTATCTCAAAAGCGGTTGAGAGTAAGAACTATATTTTTGCACGTAACTTTAAAATGGCGACTATGGGGTCAACATCCTGCCTTGAACAGGAACACATAAGCCAGCAATAAGCCCGGCTAAAAATTACGCTCTATTTGTTCATTTTTTTATTTTCATTTTTACATTATAAATTTTCTTTTGTTCAAAGGGTGTGGTCACAGCAAAAAATTGAACCAAAGATGAAAAAAGCTTTATTTTGATAAAAAGTGGCAAATTGCACGTGTTTAGACGTTTTCTGTACAAATATGATGTCATCAAATTAAAATATTGGCGTTAACTCTTCAAGTTTGATTCCTAAAGATAATATTTCCATAAATAATTTTTTTTCTTCCCCTCACTTTAATTTTCCTAAAATAATTAGGCCGATTTAGCCCATTCGTGGATTTAGCTCTTTTACGAGGGCTGTTCAAAAATTACGCGGACTGTGCTATTATTTACTCTTATAGACGTCATATAGTTATAAAATTTCACAGAAATATGTATCTTAAAGATTCCAATAAATTTTAGGCAAAATTTCTGTATTTTAAAAAAAATTCTACTAAAATTATCGGTATGTTGGTATTGTTGATGGAGGGGTACGGCGCACGACAAAAAAATAGAAGCAAAAGCATGCGGATTCAAAAATTTAACTCATTGATTTTCTAAAATTCGCGGTATTTTTCAATAATTTTTTCAAATGTACCTTTAAATTGTTCTATTATTATGTATTTAGATTTCGGACGTAATATTTGAAGTACTAACAGAAATATAGTGATTTTTCTCTGATGCGATTCCCGTGAAAACGACAATGAAAATGACGTCTCCTGAATTGACGGCGCACCACACTTTTCTTAAAATATGTGTAATGCTCGAGATATCGGCAACATAGATCCAAAATATGCATAATAAAACATGTAGTAAACTAGGCTACTCGTGACATTCGCCCAAAAATAGCAAATTGAAATTTTAGACCGTTAGACATCTGTAAAAAGGCTATGCGGGAGGACAGGAAGAAGATTATAGACGAAAAGTTAACTTTATCGGGATTGTAAAGAACGTGATTGAGAGTCACCAGTATCACACTATATCTCATACGTAGTTTTTGGTTTTAAAACAAAAAATAAAATATTCTTTACTTGTTTAATAGATTTTAAGCTTGACAAGAAATGGTGTTTTGATGTTGAGTAGATAAGGTAACTCAAACTATACAGGTACTCAAGGGAAAATGTTGAGAAAATGAAAGCTCAATCACATATTTTTTATAATGCTTGTGACGACGGAGATTTTGCTGCGCCGTAACTTAATGGTATGTCCCGAAAAATCACTCAAAATTTATACCAATTTACAACATTTTGATATGAAATTTTGAAGACCATATAAGTAAAGATTCTTTTATATAATTTGTGAAATTTTGCCCGATTATGTCGTCAAATATTTCTTCTGTGCAACAAGTCCGCGTAATTTTTGAATGGCCCTCGTATATAAAACGTATTTAATGGAATGTAAAGTGCATGTACATACATGTAATGTGGATAACATTGGAAATATTAATATGAGTATAGTAATGATACATGTATCAACATGATATTGAAGATTTTTAAAAACAAAGAAACAAAACAAGAAATTGGAAATCGTAACGGTTATGACTGGCATTCAGAATATGTTAACTACATTTGTTGGGTGTACAGGGTGTCCCAAAACATATGTTACACTTTTAAACCGTAATAAAAATTTTATGCCTCAAGTTTCAATAATGAAATTTAAAATATATAATAAAATTGTTATAAATTTTTTTGTGAAGCATACCGTTGTCACAGTTTCCTTATTAATCATCAATATTTTTTTCTTTAGAAAAACATATGTCATTTTACAACATGTTTCAAATGACGTCCCTTGAATTAACATTGTTTGAACACAATTCCTGAAGTTTTTATTTACCAAGCTTTAAATGTAACATATATTCTAACAGTTAAACATCAAATCCCTTCACAAACATGTAAACTAGTATTCTGTTGAGGACTTTCATAACAGGATGTTGTTTTCTCATGGTACTAATGACTAAAGTAGCAATTTTAGACCAATAGTGAAGTTTTACACTTTCTACCAGCTCTTCACATGAAGGTTCCATATCAAAATATGATGACGTCATTAGGACCTCATTATTACCTGACTCTTGAGCAGAAAGTTCTCGAAATTTTGTAAGATAAAATGTATGCTAATACATTAGAAGTTGACAAAATATCTTTTTGAATGCTTTTAATTTGATAAAGTTATAGGTGATTAAAAGTGTAACATATGTTTTGGGACACCCTGTACAAGAGCATCAACGGTTGTTGGAAACGTGGGATAAATAAAGCCCGATATGCATGAATGACCCAACAAACTAGACGGTGATATATGAATGGCGACAGGCGCGGATTCAGGATCTTTTTTTTTCTAGGGAGGGGGTTCACATCAAAATATTTGTACGAGCAAAAAAAGAAATTATATGCTCTTAAATGCGGGCAATAATAAACGACTCAGTTCGTATGTACATGTACCTGAAGCACATTTGCAGCTCTGTTCTGCAGCCCTTAAAAAGATAAAGCGAGTGTTTGTGAATAGAGCATTTATTACATTACAAATGCCAAATAAAATTAAAAATTTTACAATTTCAGAATGGAGCAGAAGGTGGGGTGCAAAAAATATCCCACACCTTCAACACAAGAAAATCAACAATCTGAACAATAATCAAAATGTGCATGGAGGTTTAAAGGGGGATGGAGGAGGGTAAAATTTTCAAACCACGTTTTTTGGGGCCAAGCGGAATTATGAATATGGGTTAGGCTAATAGCCGTAAATAGAGGGCGCCTGGAAATTATAACCCGGAAAAAACCCTCAAGACCCAAACATTCATACACATTATCAGTAAATCAAAATACAAAAACTTTAAGCATTTAGATCCCATAAATTTCTTTATATACATAAATACACTTATGTGCTCTTAAATGCGGGCAATAATAAACGACTCAGTTCGTATGTACATGTACCTGAAGCACATTTGCAGCTCTGTTCTGCAGCCCTTAAAAAGATAAAGCGAGTGTTTGTGAATAGAGCATTTATTACATTACAAATGCCAAATAAAATTAAAAATTTTACAATTTCAGAATGGAGCAGAAGGTGGGGTGCAAAAAATATCCCACAAGAGGGACAATGAACTTATAGAGAAGGGTCCCTCGCCCCACCCAAAAATGTGCTTCAGTTCAACATGAGTATGATAATAAAACAAATTTATATAGGGATCAATGGAATACTAAAGAGGAACAGTAATTGATTCACATTTAAAAATTTTATAAAAATTTTTGTCATCTTGTATTATACACATACTCATCACACTTATTAAATATTACCGTAAAGTTATAGACCATACTGCATAGAAAAGAGATTTATGTTCTTACTCAAAATAATCCTATGTTTAAATTCCCCTTGTTTTATCCTACACATGAGGAACATAGCCTTGTCCGAACATTAACCAAATATAAATATATGCGTATACATGTATATTGTCTGTTAATCGATAACGCAAAATCAAGTAATAGTAATTAGCATGTCCTGCTATATATAATGCACTAAACGGATAATGGAAATGATCCATATAAGAAATCCTAACCTATAAAACACATTAGGCTTAGTAAGATATAGTTCCCCCATCCACTCACAGGTTGAAAGTTATTAACATATGTACATAATCATTACATATCTTGTAACAGAAAAAATGACATGAAACATTAACAATCCTCCATATCAAAATTCTTGAGTGCCGCCTCAGACAGTCACCCAAATCTAATAAATTTACCGTACATGTTAATGTAGCTATAAATTAAGAAAATCAAACATATTGCAGTGTAACTCTCTCATTCATGATAAAAAATATGACACAATGAAATTAACCTAAAACATCATACTTATGCCAAATTATGAGATTATTGAATTAAGAATTTATTACCTGGAAAGGGATGCAATGAAAAGAGATGAAAATTGATTCAAACAGAATCACCCTTCATTCAAAATATAATCAAGTGACCAAAAATAAAGGATACCGCCTCAGACAGTTATCCTTTATATTTGGAGCTAAAATGTTGGAAACATTGAAACCCTAATGTATCTCTTAAATGACTCTGAGTGCCATCGTCCCATGACTCTTATTTGTGAATCTGAAAAACCCTGTAAATGTGCCTGGGTTGCTGCTCCTATCCTGAAGCTGTGTGCTTTAAATGTGTTAGAATCCAGCTTGGAAAATTTTAGTGCTGACCTCAAAACATCACAAAATTCTGTACGCGAGATGGGTCGTCCTGATCTGTAGCAAAATAGGGCTCCTTCTTCTGCACCTCGCACCTCCAAATAATTTCTCATAGCCTGCACCGGACAAAAGCTGCACTTTGGTTGGGGATTTATCTCCAGCTGGACAGGTTTCTTACCTAAATTATGTTTGAAGTTGATCATTGTAACAACCATGCATACTTGTTTTTTGTCACGCCTGAAAGAAACATTTCTTCGAAGCAACAGGTTTGGATTTGAGCCAGAACGAACTGTGATTTCTCCCACTCTTAGAAAAGCATAAAATGCTAAAAGAAACATCGCCATGTACAAATATTCTTGGTACTTAGAATTGGCTACATGTGGTATTGCCACCAGGAGCTTCCCAAGAATATCCAAAGTAATTGGTTGTCGGACATCTGAAGAATTGACAAGCCGTTTTGCACCACTTAACATTTTCTTGATCAAGAAATGATTTGAGAGATCTGGGGCATTTGTCATTTTGAAATAGTAAGCCAATGCTGCCAGGTAAGTTGATATTGAGCTTGGTGCTTTTCCTAAACTGAATAGGTATGACACGAAACAAATGACCTGTCCAAGGGAAATCTCCTTAATGCAGTCAGTCTTGTAATAACTCTGAATAAAACTACTGAAACAATTTAGGGCCTGCCTGTACAATTTCTTTGTGTTAGGAGCCAATGCTGCGTCTATTAAACTACACGCTGTGCTTTGGAGAGTTGCAAAAGATGGATTGGTATGCTGGTGGGTTTGGCCTCCATATCCACGGACACTTCTTTGAATCTCTCGATCTGTAAGCGTGAAAGTAAGTCTGGTAAAATATTGAACATTCCTGGGATGTGTTCTGCTGAAAAAAGAATATTGTATGTCATAAGTGCCAAAACTAATCTTCTCACCAAAATCATGATTTTTGAATCTTTTGATGTTTGCGAGTTCACAATGTGAACAACTGCTGCATTATCCGAATGGAATACGACACAAGAATTCTTTAAGTTAGATCCCCATAGTTCGACAGCTAACACAACCGGGAATAATTCCTTGAGGGTAATATCATAATCCTTCAGATTTTCTGGCCAAGACCCATAGAACCATTTCTTTTCAAACACAGCTCCAAACCCCAGAGAGCCTGCTGCATCAGTGTAGAGATGAATTTGTTTCGATGTCACCCAGATATGTTTAAATAATAATGATTTCCCATTGAAGTGATCTATAAATAATGACCAGGCAGCCAGATCACGCCTACTCTCTCTAACCATGTCTTTGTGGTGGTGGGGCTTTGAAAGGCCTTTTGTTAGGTCAATGAGCCGCCTTAAGAATGTACGCCCAGGCACGATCACCAGACAAGCAAAATTAAGCAGTCCTATCAAGGACTGAAGTTCTCTAAGGGTAACCTTTCGCTTAAATTTCATTGAATCTATAGCTTGTTTTAATTTCTCCAATTTATCACGCGGCAACCTAATCTCCATAGCCAATGTGTCGATTTCAATACCGAGAAATACCAAGTTTGTAGTTGCCCAAGAAGTCTTTTCTGCCTTTAAAGAAACACCTAAACTTTCACATGTAAGTTTGAAAACATGTAAACTTTGGTTACATATTCCCGATGCAGGTGGACCAATAAAAAGAAAATCGTCCAATATATGAGTTATGTGAGGAATATGCCCTTTAACCTTACCAATCCATTCTAAGGCCGTGGAAAATGTTTCAAAAATAGCACAAGAACTCGCACACCCCATTGGCAAACATTTATCATAAAAGTAGAGACCATCCCATTGAAAGCCCAGTAATTCATGATCTTCTTTTCGAATGGGTATAATCCGAAAAGCTGATTCCACATCTGTTTTGGCCAAAAGGCAACCCTTCCCTATCGAGACAATAATATTTACAGCATCATCTAGGGTAGCATATTGAACTTTTGTGAATGTATCTGGAATAAAATCATTAATTGAATTTTTTTCAGGAAATGATAGATGATGTATGAGTCTAAATTGACCTTGTTCTTTCTTTGGTACAATACCAATCGGGGAAATTTGAAGATTTTCAAAAGGGGGTGAAACAAAAGGCCCAGCAATTCTTTGAGCATCAAGTTCTTTCTGTAATTTGTTGCAAACAACGACTGGGTTACGAATGGCCGAAGAAAGATTCCTAGATGATCTGAAATATCTCGGACCGTGGTAGTGTAAGTTGAATCCATATTTAAATCCCGAAATCAAATACTCAGAAATGGTTGCGTCATAGCCTAGTAACAGATATTGCAATACATTAGCTATAATAGGGGTCACGACCTCATTGGTGTTTTGTTGTATTGCCTGAGGGAAACTGCACTGGGCTTTTACTAGTTGTTTGTGCTCTGCACTTTGTTTTAGGGTGGTTTCTCTTACATCCTGTACAAATATGTTCGAATCTGCAGTTTTCAGTTTTGCAACTTCCATCCCTATTATATTTCCAGCAAATTCCTTTTGGGTAATGTTTTCTCCCCCCGGATCTTTGTCCAAACCTTGATCGAAAGGGACGAAAGGGCTGGTTAGCTTCCTCCCTAGATCTCTGAGCCTGAAGAATGAATTCAACATTTAGCTTCCCCCAAGGAGTACCCCTGTTTTGCCTGTCCATCCTAATTTGTTTATCATATGTTTGCCAAGAAACATTTCCAGATGATGCCATATCACGAACTGTCTCCGCGTGTTTTAATAAATTTGGCGTTTCGTTCGGAAATTTTTCAGTGTAGACAGAAAGGAAACGCAGAAATGCTGTTGTCCACTGGAATATGGTCTTAATTGTTTGTTTTGCCCTTTTGGGTACTACCGAGAGGTTAGTGTTCTCCCCTATTTTAAATGTGTAGTCATTATTTTCGGTGCAAGGGATTAAATTGTTAGGGATAAGAGCTGCAAGGTCAATATACTGATCTTCCCATATCTTTTGCTTAAGCTTTTGTGGAATCATTGCCGAAATAGGAGTTGACCAAGTAGAAGTATCAATTGCCTCACTTGAGGCATATTCATCATCTGACCCCTCAATATCCTTAAAGGTAATCTCTGAGTCGGACTCACCGTCACTATCAGAAGCACCTCCCCCTTGGGTATCAGTGGCTTTGTTCCTTTCATCGATTGCTTCCAACACGGACTGGGTGATTTTCTTCACCAACTCATCCTCCTTAGCTTTACTGTCTACCTCCTGTGCTTTTCTCGTCTTTGCTCTTGTGCCTGTAGTACTGCTTGAAACCTCCGTACTCCTTCTCTTGGCACCAGTTTTGGCCCTAGGCATTTTCCTGTAAAATACTTTGTAAGCAAAGCTCTATATGACAAATTAATAGATGGTCAGTCTGAAGTTTACCATTGAAAATGCAATGCTTGCGAAGGATTTAAAACATACTTAAATAGAAGCTTATGAATAAGATCATTTCATTACAATGATTATTGTGTTAATGTACTTATATCAGTATTATAATATTTATATGTGTCCACCTACATTCCATTACATGTATTGTATCCTTCTCTCAAAATCACCCATAAATGAGTCATAAATGTATGATACTATCCAAGACAAAACTTTTAATTATGGACCTGACATCTAAGTCTCCTTGTGACACCGTAAGCAGCAAAGCATAATATGCCTAATTCTACAAAGTAGAACTTGTCAAGTAACTCACCCATACAGGCTATGTCAACTAACATGTCCTACAAAACAACCTGACAATACTGCCTAAGAGTGCAATCCAAGCCTTCCTAAATTATGTGTATTACCCAATCATGCAGAATACATTTATGCAAAATAAAAATGTCCAACCCTATAAAACCTGATCATAAGTTCCCAAAAAAGGGGTAAATCTTAATGTTGTAATTATATAAAAACCTTACAAAATATATCAACTAAAGTGACAAAATATTCATATCAACATGAGCATAATGTGTGCTGACCGTACAGGGAAATTCTTGCTAAGTATGATCGACCGTACACATGTATCAACAAAATATCCAACCATATAGGACAACTCACAATAACAACTATATAGAACTAATGAAGTGAAGTTCTGTCTTCAGTCCTACCGGATATATGACATTATGTTCAACCATTACATGCGTCCCACCAATTTTAAATATCGCCCAACCATACTGGGATGCATATAGCTCAACCATATAGGGCTATAGTATATATTGCCCAACGATATAGGGCATAACAACATCATGGCGTCCAACCAATAACCATATAGAAACACATGGAGCCCAACCATACTGGGATGCATATAGCTCAACCATATAGGGCTACAGTATATATTGCCCAACCATATAGGGCATAACAACACCATGGTGCCCAAACATAACCATATATGACATAAACATCAAGAAGCCCATCCATAATGGGATGCATATAGCTCAACCATATAGGGCTACAGTATACATTGCCCAACCATATAGGGCATGACAACACCAAGGTGCCCAAACATAACCATATATGACATAAACATCAAGAAGCCCATCCATAATGGGATGCATATAGCTCAACCATATAGGGCATAACAACACCAAGGCGTCCAGCCAAAAACCATATATGACAGCACACTATGTAGCCCAACCATACTGGGATGCATATAGCTCAACCAGATGGGGCCATAGTATATATTGCAGAACCATATAGGGCATTGCAACTCCATGTTGCCCAACCATACATGGAAACATACAGCTAAACAATATAGAGCTACAGCACTGATAGCCCAACCATGAGGGGTAACAATTCATATAATATACTCTGGGAATACCTGTTTAAATTAACCCATGAAACTTTCATCAGTTCATGAATTGAATCCTATGGTAAACAATGAAAAACATGGTAATCGACTGACGTAACATTTACCAGGTGAACAACAAGTGACATAAAACGTAAGATTTGTAGATAATCCTATGTCATTTAATCGCACTTCCTGACATCCCAAGTTCCAAGATAAAACAATGCACAAGCAACCCCATTTTACTATAACAGTCTAATTTGTATTCAATTTTATAAAACCACTTGTAGGCTTTTAATTGCTGAAACAACTGAGGCCCTAACACTATTGTAATATTTTGGGTACCCGTATGTTTCATTTAGGTGCACACCATCATCACAGTACACTATTTCTTTATTTTCCTGTGACCAAAATCCTGAGTGCCTCCAGAATCTGACACCCGAGCCAAAATCTCTTCCTAACCTATCATTCAAAAGCCTATTAACCAAATCTACCCTGGCATTGAACCACTCAACGTCTACCGAAAATCTGCCAGGTTTACCCGGAGGTTTTCTATGAAGAATTTGATAAACACAAACCCTCTGCACTCCACGACCCCGGAGCTTATCGGTGAACGAAACTATTTTTTTAACCAGATCGTAAACTTCAACATCTAAGTTGCACAAATCGTTCGAACCTATCTGCAAACACACTACAGCTGGTTTAAATCTATCAACCTCTCTTAAGCCTCTAACTGATATTCTATCGATTGTGCAACCCGAATATCCTCTGCAAAAAACTTTCTGTTGCAGATCCAGATTAACATGTAACTGCTCAGAACGATTCATAAACCGCTGTAAACGAACAATGAATGAATGCCCGAGAATCAAGACACTATCCTGCATGATTTATACAATAACGAATACTCACTACACAAGTAAAAACTTCTAAAATTTTCAAACCACGTTTTTTGGGGCCAAGCGGAATTATGAATATGGGTTAGGCTAATAGCCGTAAATAGAGGGCGCCTGGAAATTATAACCCGGAAAAAACCCTCAAGACCCAAACATTCATACACATTATCAGTAAATCAAAATACAAAAACTTTAAGCATTTAGATCCCATAAATTTCTTTATATACATAAATACACTAAACTTCCTCAATCCTGAAATGTGCGGGGGCACCTTACGAAGTCTATTTTCTGCTTTTGTAGGAGGAAAACCTGGAAAGGGGGGATATGATCTTAGATTTAAGTATCCTTTATGTTACGACCCCATTATTTACACGCATATTTGGCCAGTTCATCGTCTCAAAAAGTTTCTGTTCGTTTCGTTTTTATTATTTTAAATGATGTAACTTCTTACTTACTTAACAATATTTTCTTTTTCAAAAGCCCGATCAGGATTCCGATGAAAAGAATAGACTTTATATAATTCATGCAGTTTTCATTTCAATAGAATAGTCCAGGGAAAGTGCAAAAACTTACACGTGATATTAGGCGCAAAATGATTGAATCACCCCTTACCTAGAAGACAAATGGACTTATTAAATCCAGTAGTACAGAAATGCAGAAAAAAGGTCAAACGGACATGCATGTCCGTGTAGGAACTTGCATAAAATAAATGGCTGCATACAAAAAACTAATGGAAATAAACACATCAATAATTTGTTCCAGTAATATGGTTTTTTTTCTGCTAACTGTTGTTGTTGAAACGCTGGTAACAAAATCCGATGATAATCAGCATGCACAAAATTTTGCTGGCTAACTGTGACCTCTTAGCTTCGCACCTAGGAAATATTGATTCTTAATCTTAGTAGTACCTGACGCCGTGACGTTAGGCAATTAAAAAGAGATAGTCGACATTTTTAAATATCTGGAAGATTAAAGCTGAACACGACTCGTAAATAGGCATACGCCATTTTCGATATCATTATCTACGAAACTTCAACACTAGGTTATAATCGTCGCATTCGTCACACCTGACTGCTTTATTGTCACGGGTATCGGCGTGGTATGGCGACCCGTGTTCGTGCTGATTATCTTGCATTACCTTAGTTTACATTTTATTGCAGTTATGTGTGTCTGTGTGGTTTGTAAACTGCAGTGACATGTTCAACTATAATTGTAAATTTATTTGGTATCTTAACATTCCTGCTTCGCTAGCAAAGGATATGCTTACTGTAAAAGTACTTTTTTCGCGTGGTATTAATTTACGCTATGTACGCGTCACAAAATTTTCCGCGGAAATTTGTCCAAGCGTACTAAATATAAATGTAAGTGAAATATTGGCAGTCTAGAAAATCCTTGTAATTTTCTACCCGTGAATCAAACAGAAATTGAGATTCCGCGGAATTATGACCCCGTGGAAAAATGTACGTTTACCTAAACAAATGCTTTCTTTGTTTGTTATTACTGGATTTAACGGAAGCAGCTGAAAGACATTTTATTGTTTATTTTTATATCTGTTTAAATAATCATTTAAAGTAGGATTAAAAAGATTAATTATTGTATTAATGATGCGAACACGTTTCATTGATGGAACAGCCACTGATCAAGAAATCTGTACAGGCGACATGCGATAAGATGTAGTTCATGCAGTGATTAACGCAATAGGTTTTCTTAAGAAATAAAGGAGATAATATTCAGTGAATGTAAATATAGAATTTTATGGGTGATTTAAATTTCAAGGAGTGGTAATTTATTTGACTTTATCTCAGTTGACAAGCTAAAAATAAGGCATCTTACAACCAATATTTTGCAGGCTATATGAAAGTGATATATTTTAAACATGCAGACATAATGCAGATACCTTTGTCAATAATTTGGGTAAAAACATTGATTTATGTAAAAACAGAGGATTGTGTAGTGTAAATGAAAATGATAAAAGAGGGGATATTTTACTTTCTATGGATCAAAGTGTGTGTAGTGGAACCATTATATGTACGAACTGCCTATTGCTGTATATTATTTTATGTACGAGTTAATTTGAAAGTATGTAAACACACATGGCATTCTCTATCCAGAATTATCTTCCGCTATGCTCACAACACCTCTGTCAACGCTCGTTGTACAAGATTCTTGTACAAAATTTAAAAGGGGAATATTCGAAATTTAAATGATAATTAATTATTGTAATTATTGATAAAGATAATAATTCTTCATTATCCCTCAGACCGAGTTACTTTCAAAGTTTTTAGGGAACTATTTTGCGGAGTAAAAATTAAAATCTTTGATAAAAAATCTTTTTAAGGTGTAATGAAGTAAAATAAATAATGTTTTCCGATAAGAAATATAATCAAAACTATTATTAATACAACTTTTAATCATTTACAATTTTCCCAAGAATCACGCACAACAAGCGTTGACAGGGGTGTACATGTATGTGGGAAAAGAAGCGGGAACGACAACTCTGGATAGAGATTGCACACATGGCTGCAAGTGCAGCACACTGCAAACATTTTTTCTTATAGTTAAGCTCGATCCACTACAGAGTAAGTTTCATATGCATTATAAATGATAAAGATATATTATGTTTATCTACTATTTGAACTGTAAAGTAAACAATTTCACATATTAGGCTGTTTTTTTAATGATCGGCATGTAATGTAAACAATCTACAGCTACAATATTTTCCCGCCATTATTATGTTCCCCAAACGAAGTTGGGGAACATATTGTTTTTACTCTGTTTCTTATTATTATTAAGGTCTTCCGTCTTCAGCGGAAGACCTTATTGTTTTTCTTCGGTTTCTTTTTCACTTTTATTATTATTTTTTTTTCTTACCGATTTTGTGCACGCGATTTCTCGAAAACGGCTCAACAAAATCTTATAAAACTTTCAGGACGTATGGAACATCGCTAGAACCTTATGCGTTTTTTTCCGTTTCGATGACGTCACTTCCGGTCTGGAGATATCGTCAATTTTCTAATTTTTAAGGGTCATTTTGTCCACAATTTTCCCGAAAAACTGCTCTAGATAGAAACTTCAAACTTTGAGGCTAGGTAGAGCTATGTCTGGAGAGGTGCATTAGGTATATCAAATTTACCGGAAGTGACGCTCGTTGGCGCTCGCTATGGCCCGAAAATAGACCTATCACAAATTTCAAAATTTCTCACACCTTTTCTTCGATATCTTTTTACCTGAAAATATTTTGTGAAAACGTATAGAACAAAAGAAGTGCAGAATTAAAAGATCTTTCAAATGATATCTCGAAAAAAGGGCTGGTCCCTAAATTTAAGGGCCTAGAGGGGCCAACAGTTTTTTCTTTATATCTCAAAACGTATTGAGAATTTGTAATACGTCAAAGAAGCAAAGTTGTTCAAAATGACAAGCTTAATCTATTGAAGTCGTCAGAAAACGTCCGGCGTCGTCACTTCCGTCCAAACCGGAAGTAGTCGAAAAACGCGTATTGTTGCCGTTCTTGACAAGTTTATTGGTAACAAATGTCTCTAGAAGCAAAAAAATAATTTTTTCGTCCGTTGTCGTCACTTCCGGTCAAACCGGAAGTAGCAAAAAATTGCTTATTTTTGCATTAATTAACATAGCGTTAAAGGATTCAAACCATTTTTAGGCGTTATTTCTCATTTTTGTTAAAAATTAATACTACTTCCGGTCAAACAGGACGGAAGACCTACTCGTTGCTTTGCAACGAGCTTTGCTCTAGTTATTATTATGTTCCCCAAACGAAGTTGGGGAACGTATTGTTTTTACTCTGTTTCTTATTATTATTATTAAGGTCTTCCGTCTTCAGCGGAAGACCTTCTTGTTATTCTTAGGTTTCTTTTTCACTTTTATTATTATTATTGTTTTTTTTCTTACCGATTTTGTGCACGCGATTTCTCGAAAACGGCTCGATGGATTTCCATGAAACTTTCAGGACTTATGTAACATCACTTGAACCTTATGCATTTTTTTCTGTTTTGATGACGTCACTTCCGGTCGGGAGTTATCAGCACAAAATTGATTTTTTTAAGGGTCAGTTTGTCCGCACGATTTCTCCTAAACGACTTTAGATAGACACGTGATACTTTCAGGTCTAGTAGACCTATGTCTGTAGATTTGTGGAATGTATTTTATTTTTACCGGAAGTGCTGTACGTCGGCGCTCGGTATGGCCCGAAAATAGGCCTATCGCGAATTTCAAAATTTTTAGCACTTTTTCTACGATATCTTTTTACCTGGAAATATTTTGTTAAAACATATAGAACAAAAGAAGTGTAGAATTTTAAGTTCTTTCAAATAATATCTCGGAAAAAGGGCTGGCCCCTAAAATTAGGGGTCTACAGGGGCCGAAAGTTTTTCCTTTATATCTCAAAAAGTATGGAGAATTTGTAATACGTCTATGAAGCAAAGTTGTTCAAAATGTCAAGCTTAACCTAATGGAGTCGTCAAAATACGTCCGTCGACGTCATTTCCGGCCAAACCGGAAGTAGTCGAAAAACGCGTATTTTTACCGTTCTTGAAAAGTTTTTGGGTAACATCTGTCACTGGGAGCATAAAAATTAATTTTATGTCCGTCGTCAACACTTCCGGTCACACGGGAAGTAGCATAAACTTCCGGTCAAACAGGACGGAAGACCTACTCGTTGCTTTGCAACGAGCTTTGCTCTAGTTATTATTATTTTTCTTCTTCCTGGGCACTTTTTTGTCCGCGAATGATCTCGTAAATTATACATCCGACTAAGGTGAAATGTTTTTAGGGTCAGTACACATGTTATGTAGATTTGCCGAACGAAGGTCATTTTGCGCGCACGTGCTTGCAAGAGCGCGCACGTGCAACACGTGAAATGACCAATATAATTGATATAGCCGTAACTTTTCTATTTTTTGATGAAATGTTTTGAAACTCACAATGAAAGGATATATTAGTAGTGTTCACAAGATGACATGGTGAAAATAACAAGATCTCACGCGCATGCACGTGCGCTTCGCTCTGATTGGCTGAAACTAAAGTCTCAATATCTTTCTTGTTTTTCGACAGAATGTTTTGAAATTTTGAACATAGTCATATATTAGGGAGATCTACAGCCTGATATATAAGAATTTTCATAAAAGCATGCGCATGCCCGTGTGCTTGCAAGAGCGCGCACGTGCAAAACGAGAAATGTCCAATATAATTGATATAGACGTAACTTTT